AAAAAAAAAAAATTGAAACAGTATCACGACCGCCCGCTTCCGGTGGCCCCAAAAGCCCGCCTCCACCAAACCTCGAAGGCCCTCTGCAGGTTGGGGCACCCTCCATCCCCTGCCCTCAGGAACCTCCCCAGCCACGTCATCATCACCGCCTGCTGATCCTCCAGAGGCAGAGTCAGCACCGTCCGCCCAATCCCTTCCTCCACTGCTCCCCTGTCGAACCACCGGCACCAACCCCCCTGCAGCCACCCGTAGTCCACCATCAACGGCTCCAGCCACGTCACCAACAAGAGCCGGCGCACCTCCTTCCCCACAAATATCTCCCCCCGACCGATCCCCACGAATACCCTCGAGCTCACCGCGCTGACGTGGCACCGGACCGCGACCCCCACCCCACCGTGTAGGCCCGCCAGCTCATCCTGTCGGGCCCACAACGCGGCAAACCCGTCCCCCGATCGCCGACATGTCAATATGTCGAGCAGCCAGACGAGGTTGTCTGCCTCCCGGGCAATCGACTTTTTTACCTCGTCATCATTGAAATTTGGCTCGGAGGCTTGTCTGAACGAGGAGATTAACAAGTCGAGGGAGGCTTCGCAAGAACTGTAGAGGGTCTCGGTGGATAGGTTATAATTATCGGACGAGGAGTCGTTTTCTTTGAGGAGTTTGAGGACGGTGGATTTCATCTCGCGACGGCCCTTTTCGTGTTGGCTGCTGAGGACGAGGCGGAGTACGTGGGAAATGGTATCGTGTGGCGGGGGTTCAGGGGTTACCACGCGTTTTAGCACAGGTTGGACGATAATGCCCCCGGACTCAAGGCTGAGGACTGACGAGACCACTTTATCTTCCTCCTCTTGCCCGACCCAAGGGACGGCTTCTAGGTACTCGAGGCATGACTCGATGCATGCACAGAAACCGAGTTGTTGAGAAGCCTGTAATGGAGGCATTTAAGTGCAAACATGAAAAGCCGAATTCGAATCGAATAAACTGATCTCCTAAGCCGAATTTGAAACACAATGAGCTCAAAAACATTGCAGTTATCATGTTCCTGTTTATCATTAATATTTTCAAAACAGTTAAACCTTTAAGCTAATAATCCCCAATTAAACTTAAAAACACAATGAACAAACATCCAAGTAGTTA